TACAGAAAGTAACTGCCTATCTGGTTCATCCATCTTTATAGTAAATGATGGTTTAGGCATGTTCTGAACCCCAGTTTCGTGTAATACGTTGGAGGTGCTGGATGCTCTAATGTTGGTAATATAGGGAATTGCTACAGGTTGATTGTATGAATTGATTTTGTGACCACAGTTGTGAAAACTGTTGAATACCCCTACGAAGAACTCATTATTAATCTAGAGTGAAAGGATGCATGTTTAAAACCCCCTTAAATGTTCTATATCCCAAAATATTTTATTCAGAAATGGTAGCTTATATGTATGTACCTTATACTATATTGCTATAAAGTGTAAATGAAAAGGGGACATCTTTTTATAAGTATTAGGGCCTACACTATCAACTTTTAAACTTGTATTTAACATCAAACTTTCTTCAGACAACTACAGAGAGAAATGATGATTACCTAATAAAACATTGTTTGAAGCCCTAAAATAATATGCAGCTTCTCCTGGAAAAGCATTAACAGGAAGTCTTTGATTCATAAGTTCTGAAGCCATCTGCTATTCAGTCAGGAAGCATCCTGAAATACTGTGAAGTGGAAAAGTATCTTCTAAATGAAAATCTCAAGAAATGGTTTTAAAATGTATTGCGACTTCAGAACATCACTGCTGACATTCTGAATGTTTTCACTGAAGTTTACATATGTTTCAAGGAGAAAAGATAAATATTTCATGGTGGATAGCTGGATATGGATAATGAGAAAACACAGGAGAACTTGATTTACAGAGATCCCATTATGCAAAGACATTCAAGGGATATAAGAACAATGAGAGAAATTTAGAGAAACAAGAAATTTGTGGAAACAGTCAGTATTCGGAACCAGGCCACTGGTTATTATTAAAGAAATTGGAGTTTCACTTTTTAAAACTACATAATCAAGACTGTGAAAGTATACAGTGTACACTAACAAGAAAACTTAGCAGAAGGATTTATAATTACAATTTTCAAGTTACATACATTTTAATTTTAGTTTTTTGAATTACTTATAATAGGAGAAAACGCAGTTAACAAGAGAAGGGGAAGTTATATTCTGAAATTGTGTAGGTGCTCCATTTTACATAAACTGAATAATGAAATTGTAGTGAACTCATCATTTGTAATATATGAATGTTAAATTCACATGCAACTATTCACCATTAGTTGATACTTATTCAGACTGGGCAGAAGTCATGGCCATATGGTGATGAACATATTTTGCTGCAATAATATTTAGCGAGATGTGTGCAAGAACACATTTACTTCCTCACTTAAAATGGCTGCTCATTTTATCTGATTTTATCCATAATCAGAATGTGGCCCCACAGTTTATTAAAACTCTAAAATGGAACTTGATTAGATAGTATTTACTGGTTCTTTGATTGTTTCATGTGTACAGATGGATGGGTATAGAAAATTGCAAGGCATGTGCAGAGTTTGTAATGCTCCTGGAAATGGGGAAACATCTGAAATGAAACATTGTTAAGAAAGGATTTGAATACGGGAAAGAAAGGAAAGATTGAATCAATGTTATCAAGTGAGGATGAGGCTGTTAAGAATATCTTATCAGATATCAGTTATGAGTAAGTACTGGGTGCCGATGAAATTCAAGAAAGTATAATAATGTTAATCATTAAAGAATGTAACATATATTCTTTCCTTTTAATGTAGTTATGTTACAGGAGGGTGATGTAATAACCAGAGGTCATCTCCTGGACTCTTACAACATCTCTGAAATTATATCACCATTATAAGATTTGCCAATAAATATAAATACAAGAAGTATAGGGTCACAGAATGAATATAATTAATAGCAGTTACAGAAGCATTTATTTTGGAAACATTTCTCTGTAAACAAAGAATATAATATAGATCTGTCTGCACTATACATTGTTGAGTATATCATAGATTGCAACTCATACAGATTTATTTTGTGAAACATTACATAAAATGAGCTTAAAAGATGTGTTCCCAACGTTTTACTCTATGTATATTGTTAAAATGTTACAATTAATTATCCTGCTAGAAGATTCACTTGCTAATAATCTGCAGTAGACCACAGTAATAATTGTTGTAATATTCAAAAGGAAACTAATAAAAGGAAGTTTATAAGAACAGTGCAACTGTCAACTTATGACTCATAGCAATACACCTTTAAAATATATACTGTCTGATTACAACATCATAGACTGTATAAGATTTGAGGCTTTCATGGCGGTGACTATGAAGAAAGCAGTCTTCTGGGATTTGGCAGCGTGTATATGTGGTGTTAACCGACGTTTTGGAGGAATGTATCGCCTCCATCTTCAGGGTAGAAGGAAAAAATATAAGAAATCCGCAAGGGAAGAGACCGTGAGAATCGGTAAAAGCAGACTGGTGTTGGAAATATACACAGCTATGTGAGAGCAGTGAAGGAGGGGGGGAAGGGCAAGTATACAAGTGAAATCAATAGTGTGGGAGGGGGGGGAAGAGCTGGGACAGGCAGGGTTTTGTGTTGGGAGAGAAAGGCAAGGTTAAAGGCTGGGCACTAACCCTTAAGCTGGGGGGGTAGGGGGTTGCTATGTTAGTCAGTCATGGCCTGTGTAGCCTTGTGGNGCCTGCTGCTATACGAACTTGAACCATCTCGAGCATCATTTGCTCTGTGCTTCAAGTCGCTACTGATGACGCTGCTTCCGGCATCAGTTTTTGGTTTTTGGTGTCTCTCTTCGTCTGATGCCTACCCTTTGACCTGTCCAGCAAGGGAGGCCCTGCCAGTAGCTACGCTACCGCTGGTATAGCTCTCAGGGTCCTTGGCATACTCAAACCCCCTCACCACGATAAGGTGGAGACATATACACATATGTATATACACATATACATAGCTGTGTATATTTACAAACGTTTGCACTTGCAGTGTTACAATTACTGCTTACAATATTCCGGCCGACACTGGACTCTCTTCTCTGGCGGTTATTCTAGGACTGGGTGTGCGAATGCATTCAACCCCGCTATATAACCTTGGTCGCCGCTATGCAACGAACTCTTTGTTATAACCATGGAGACTCCTGTTAGAACCACAATAGAGCGATTGTTGTTTCCTATGCAGCGGTCTGTTCTAGCGTTTCCATAGAAGTGACTCTTCTGGATTCCAGACACGTTACATTGCTCCCTTCTAAAGGTTGTTCGTCCCCGAACAGCCTAAAGGTTCTCCCTCGGTTTTGATTCCGCGGCGTTTTGCCGGCAACGTCTGCATTCGGTCTTGGTGTCCTTTGCGCGTCTCTTTGCGCTGTTCATTTTACCGCATCCGCCCCTCTCTTCAGTTGTGCTCGTCCCGGGCACTCCCAAGGTCCAGAGTTTGTCGGTCGCCTTGTTTCACATTCATTCGTTCTCCATTCATCCTTGTTGGGGAGGCCGGTACTTCCATTACCGGTTCCTCCCATAAGGGCCGTTTCCCTTTTTGCGTTTTGGAGGGGGTCGACCCCTCCACAGTGTCCAGTCTTTGTCTTGGCGTAGGCCGACGGGAGATTTGGCTATACCGTTTGCGGTTTTCCTCCCTTTCCTCGGATGTAGAGGTTCAAAAAGTAAGGTCTCCAAAGCTCTGGGTAATTTTTCGTGCAGCTGTTGGCAACCCTGTTGCATTCGTTGCTTCCCCCACTCCCCCCAATACCACCAAGCATGCGCGCACGTAGCTAGGACGCTCAGTCTTGGCACGGTTGCCGTTAGAAATGGAGCTCCCGATTACTAAAACCGCGAAGTGTGAGATTCGCGCAGTTATTCGGTTTTTGAACGCAAAAGGGACTAAACCAATTGAAATTCATCGTCAATTGGTGGAAGTGTATGGCGAGTCGTGCATGGACATAAAGAACGTCCGAAAGTGGTGTAGGGAGTTTGAATCTGGTCGTACTGCAATACACGACGAAAAAAGAACTTGGAGACCGTCAATTTCTGACGAGACAGTCGCGAAGATTGAGCGAGTCATGCGTCAGGATAGGCGCATCACACTCGATGATCTCTGCATTTCGGTTCCCGAGGTTTCCCGAACCACCATTTATCGGGTTTTGACAGAGAAGTTGAATTATCGGAAGGTGTGCGCAAGATGGGTCCCGCGAATGCTCACGGAAGACCACAAACGGCAGAGAGTTGACTCTTCCCGTGAATTTCTTCGCCGCTATGCTGACGAAAAGGACAACTTCTTGAATTCAATTGTCACAGGCGACGAAACCTGGGCGTTCCACTTCACACCTGAGACAAGACAACAATCACGTCAGTGGCGGCATTCCTCTTCGCCTAAGCCTCGAAAATTCAAGCAAACACAGTCTGCCGGTAAAGTCATGGCAACTGTGTTTTGGGATCGAAACGGGGTATTGTTGGTTGACTTTATGGAAACTGGGACCACAATAAACGCTGAGAGATATTGTGAGACACTGAGAAAACTCAGGCGGGCGATTCAGAACCGGAGAAGAGGGATGTTGAGCAAGGGCATAAGCATTCTCCACGATAACGCTCGCCCCCATGCTGCCCGACAAACCGTCGCTCAACTGCAACAGTTTGGATGGAACATCATCACCCATCCACCCTATAGTCCGGACTTGGCGCCCAGTGACCACCATCTCTTTCCAAAGTTGAAAGAACATTTGTCCGGAAAGCGCTTCAACAACGACAATGAGGTGAAAGCTGAGGTTCGAAGTTTCCTGAACAGCATGGAGGTGAACTGGTATGACATGGGCATACAAAAACTGCCACTGCGCCTACAAAAATGCATCGACCGAAATGGCGATCATGTAGAGAAATGAGTACATGTTCAAGATTCAACTGATGTATCCAAAATTGAAAATAAATGTTTATTTTATATTTTCAAACATAAGAGACCCTACTTTTGGAATTACCCTCGTATTTCCAACACCAGTCTGCTTTTACCGGTTCTCACGGTCTCTTCGCTTGCGGATTTCTTATATTTTTTCCTTCTACCCTGAAGATGGAGGCGATACATTCCTCCGAAACGTCGGTTGACACCACATATACACGGTGCCAAATCCCAGAAGACTGCTTTCTTCATCATAGAATGTAATTCACAGCATGCTAAAACAATTTCTCATTATTCATAACTGTGTAGTATAGCATACTGTTGCAGATTTATGTGCACTGCCCTTATTGGAGATAACTAATAAACAACACTGTTTCATTTCAAGGGTTAATATTGAAATATATGGTGGTTACTTATTCTGTTATATCAAGTATGGACTGTTTATTAAATACAGAAGGCTATGATTTGGTTTCCTTCTCATCAAGACTAAGCTTATACAATGTACATTTAACACACATGCTCAGCAGAAGATATTATAAGTGAAATAATTAAGACTATGATGAACTTTTTCCTAATAATAAACAAACATTACATTTACCTGCTACTATTTTCTGTTAGATGATACTTAATTAAATTGTGGAGAGGTCAAAACTCATGAATAAGCAAATTACAGTTGTTTTTATTAGTTAGTCTGAATGCAGTGTTCTTAATGTGCTGGTCACTCCAACATCCTTGTATTTAGACTGTTAATGTGTGGTTACTGCTAAAAAGAAAGAAGTATAAGAATAATTAATTTTAAAATTGGAATATTTTAATGAACACTGTTACTGTAATAGGAGCCATGATTTCTAAAGATCTGCTACTTCTCCTTGTATGATTAGACCTGGAACAAGTTCTGTAATAGTTATACCTGTTTTATCTTTCCACTCCTTTCTGGTTTTTGAAGGGCTTTTATGTTCATATTCATTAAATGATTTTTTTAAATCTGGCCTGTTATCTGATTCATGTTGCTCATTCTGTATTGTAGACTCATTAGTGTTGAATCTTCTACAGTGTTCACCTTCATTTTGCAATTTCATAGATTCTGATTGCTTCAGTTTGCTTTCGTTCCAGTAGTTCTTGGAAATGGCAGTACTCTGCTGCTCATTTTTATTTACATAATTGGATTTGTACTGCTCATTTTTAGCCTGTGATTTCTTGAGGTCAAATCTGGTCCACTGTTCATTTTCAGATGGAGATGTCTTGCTGTCAGAGCTGTTTTCAGTATCATTCCAAGGTATCATGGAATTGTATCTTTCCTGCTGTTCACTTTCCTTCCAGGAACTCTTAGGACATTTTTTATTCCCGTGTTCATTTTCATTCAAAGGGTTTCGTGCACTGCACTTGCTTAAATTAGACGTAGGACTTGTGTGTTTGGATGTATTGCTGCCGTTGTGTGGGGTGCTGCTTGACCTAAGATAGTTTTTATCATTTGCCAAATAGTTTATGTTGTAGTTCTGATCAGAGGTTTCCCTTGTTATACCTTCTGATGCAGTGTCATGAATTCTCCTTAGGGAAGCCCGAGTAACATTAGTTTTTCTCAACATTGCCTGTAGAGAAATTCATAACTTAGAAATTTTAGCCAGAAAATGCTCATAATTGGTAGAGAAAAATGAGAATATTATAGGATATATAAATGAATGCAAGACTTTATGCAAACATAAGAGAATCTGATGAAAGCAGGTGTTATGTCTTTACCATGTAACATTTGATGTTTATGGATGTCTGACCAAAATTCTGTATGCTTTCATTGTCTCCCTTATCCTAACTACATGCCCACCACTTCACAGTTTCCTGGTGAAGTTCTGTGTTATGCAACCTTCAGAACTGCTCACTTTATCCTTCTATGGCCCATATATTATGCTGAGCTTTATGTTTACAAACATTTGTTATTTAAGAGCATTCTTCAAATAAGAAAGAGTGTTTGTAGCCAAGCAAAACAACTGACAGAATTAAAGAAATAACTTTATATATGGTGTTTTTGTTAGCAAATAGGATGATCACAGTTTTTGAAATGAGTAATGATAAACGTTTTCCAAATTTATTCATCTCATAATTTCACCATGAGCTTCTGCTGTTTATGTAACGTTTATAAAAGGCTTTGTACCTTATAAAAAAATGGAACTTAATGCTTTACTAAAGAGAAGAAAAATGTTTAAATAATTTTCTGTATCTCTGGGCCCTTCATCTGTTATGTTCATCTTTCTTTCCATCCTGGAATGTATTAGCTAAATGAATGTTATGGTGCCAATATAAATTACTGTGTTTGCTACATTACCTGGAAGTTAAATGGAGGTTTATCAGTTTCGTCTGTGTCACATGATTCCTTGCCTTTCATCTCCATTTCTGCTATGGGGTTTCTAGAATAGTGTATCCAATCACCTGCATTTCCAGACTGAGAGTTCCCAATAAGCCCATGACTGTAAAATTACAAATTTACAATGTTATCAATGAGTCTGTGGAAAAAAAAAAAGTTATTTAGACTTTCAAGTGAATAGATAACTCTAAATGATTTGTTTTCTTTGAAAGCATCCTTGTACACTTAAGTGTATGAGTCTTAGGATGAAATGTATTCAAAATTTGTTCAGCCACATTTGCTCTTGTATATGTGTATAGATGTATAGGCAAATTGGGTGAGCCTGATTATATGGTTATGCAACTTTACAAAATATATTTTCCAGCAGCACAGTTTTGATCATCTGGTATTATGACTGAAATATAATCTGTGATAAAATGTAATCTGGTATCAGTGTTTCAATAACTGGCTTTAAATACAGAGCCATTGAATAAGAAATGAATGATTGAAGAGGTACCAGAAGGCAAGGAAATGTGGTCACTTCTCATAAGTATTGCATATAACAAAAAGTGGTAATGCAAAGGAAGGCAAAGCATTTAAACAAGCACAATGTACTGAAATGGAAGGTATTGACCCAAATGTGAAATGGGATAGAGATTGGTTAAAGAATCTAATGAAAGTATGTGAGTTACAAGGAAGTATCAAACTTACCAATTGAATTTATTTGTTAAGTTGCATAATGGTTGTTTGTTCATGGGACTTATAGGTTCCCACTCATTATCTCCAGAATACTTCCTTAACTCTGCTCTGATGCTTTGTGAATATCTGTTGTTTGTGGTATTCATTGATCTCTCGTTCATTTTCTGCTGTTTTGATGGGATAACATTTCTGTTAGTATACTTTGGAATGGTATCTTATAGTATATTGTCCTTAATTTCCTTTTTTATGGAACCAAGTGACTATTTCGACGCCCCCACGTCCAAAATCATGTGCTTCATTCGAAGCGTGGGGTTGCTGAGGGAATAATTAAAAAGGGGAAGCACAATGGACCACTGAGGTCTAAGTGCAAGGGCCAAGTAAGCCTACCCCTTCATACATACATACATACATACTTTCCCTTGAATGGTCATCTAGCTTTTTACTGTTACATTTTGAACTTTTATAAGATCTACATACGGATATTCATGCATATAAGCCTACATTAATCAATAATCAACATATTGTGATTGTCATTCAAGGATTTTGAAACTTTGAACTTAAATTTGAACTAATAAATATGATCATCCAGGCAAAACTTTAACTAGAATTTTTTGACTAGTATGCTCATAATTGGTTTAGTGCTCCTAGGTTGTATCTCTTCATGGATATGTTGTCAGTATTATCAGTTAATCAAAAGTGCAGGGGATTGAAGATATTCAGTAGTACAGATATAGACGCATGTCCAGTGGACTTAATTGGCTTCACATAATGGGACCACAGATTCATTATTAGTACGAGGGTCATACTGAAAGTCATGAGCAACAATATTTTGTAAAGTAACATGCTTTATTATTGACAAACCAAATACACCATCTCAATCTACAGACTTTTCTTTATTTTTCCACATAATTGCCACTTCTTTGTACACATTTCTCCTAGCATTCTGGGAGTTTGAAAATTCCCCTTCTGTAAAATTCCATTCCAGTCATCTGAAGACACTGACGCACTGCTTTCTGAATTGCCTCCCTTGTCTCAAAACGTCCATGCAGCTGATCCTTCACAAATCCGAAAAGGTGGTAGTCGGAGGGTGCCAGATCAGGGCTATAGGAGGGGTGTGGAAGAACTTCCCACCCCATCTTTGCAATTGCTTCCAATGTGAGGTGAGCGGCATGGGGGCGAGTGTTGTCATGCAGGATGATGATGTTTCATCCCGGATGTTTATCGCGCAATGCACGACGGAGCTTGTGCAGCATCTGGACATAACGAGCAGCATTGATGGTTTGCCCAGGTTCCAGGAATTCGGCCAGAATAAACCCCTCTGCATTCCAGAAGACTGTGCCCATCACCTTCACAGCTGATGGTACTGTCTTTGCCTTCTTTTTTGATGGAGAATGCAAATGGTGCCATTCCATACTCTGCTGTTTCATTTCAGGCTCGAAATGGTGAAACCAGCTTTTGTCACCTGTCACAATACAGAGCAAAACATCATTGCCTTCGTGTCAATATCTCTGCAGCAGTTCTGAGGTGATGGCTTTTCGCTGACCTTTGTGGTCGTCGGTCAATAACTGTGGGACCCAATGAGCACAAACTTTCCTATAGCCCAAGCTTTCGATCATCTCCTGTACTGCACTGTGCCCTGTTCCAAGTTTTCAGGCTATTGTGTCCACAGTCACACGCCTGTCATCTTGAATGATCTCATCCACTCTTTCCTTGTTGTGTTCAGTTGAGGCTGTTCGAGGACAACCGCTTTGAGGCTCATCTCTGATGCTGGTGTTCCCAACTTTAAAATGTTTCACCCATCTTCGAACACTGCTCGCACCCATGCACACACTTCCATAAGCACGCTGAAGTGTCTGGTGAATTTCTGCAGCAGGGGTTTCCTCTTTCACAAGAAACTCAATGACAGCACACTGACAAAACGACATCGTTGTCGGCCATTTTGTTAGGAGTGATACTGGTCACGTGATGCAAGCTATTGACGTCACAAGACACTCAAGGTTAACACAACAGCTGGTTCCACCTACTGCTATTCCTAGGTTGCATGCAAAAGAAAGTTGCTCATGACTTTCGGTACAACCTATGTAGAATTGAAATTCATCAAGACAAAATACAACATATAACATTCTGTAATTGTTATCCTAATGCTTAATGGAGCCAAATGACTATGAAAATGCATCATTAAACAAGGAATTGTGCTTCATTCAAAGTGCAGGACTGAACTTAGAAAGGGGATGCACTGTAGATTGTAAATGGTCTGGTGCAAGAGTTGTTTAATGGCCCCCTCTCCCCCTGATCTTAATCTTTATCTTACTCCTATTCTCAACCACCCAGCTTTCTGTGACTCATTGTATTTGCAATCAACTGATTTTACTACTACTTTTGTATATATATGTTAAATGTTTTCTTTATCGGGAGAGAATGTAAACTACGAGTATGTGAAAATGAAGTGCTCACAAGATATATGGATTTAAGAGGGATGATATAAGTGTGTAGTTTGAAAGAATACATAATGAGGAACTCTCTGATTTGAACAAGTCACTTGATGTTATAGGAAGGAAAATATAGTGACAGTGATGGGCTGGGAATGTATCCAAGACAGGAGGAACAAGGAATGTGTGTAGAATTTTGGTGTGGAACTGCCTTGAAAAATGGCCACTTTTCAGACTGGAAGGGTGGTGGGAGTATAGCATTAAGATTCTTCTTCAGGAGATAGGTTATAAAGATGGGAAACAAATGGAACTGGGCCAGGATCATGACCAATGGTGGCTTTGGTATAAGTGATTTTGGGATCCAAGCTCCAATCATTAGTTCATTGGGCAATTCATGTGTCTACAGGTTGTAGCCCACAAGAAACGCAGGTTTCAGGTCCAGATTAGGTATTGCATGTTTTCATAATAATATAGCATAATGTTGCACATCACTTATTTATTCCTGTTAGCTGTCTCACATGGAACTTGCTTTTTAAAATCTCAAAAGTTTTAAATATTAAAAGCTCTTCTACATCACTGGTGTATGCACACTACATGTTTAAACCAAAATCATTATCTTCAAGTGTCCCTAAAATTGTTGATGAAACTGCTGTGCTTCTGTCTGTAAGTTCAATTTTTGGGATATGCCGTTGTGTGCAGCTGATGGTTTTAAAAAGCAACTTGCATGTGATATGGCCAACTAACAGGAATAAATTGCGTGATTACAAAACTAGGAAACATAAATCCAGCTTTGATAAGTTCAATTATAGATCTTTATCTCTGGGTATTCATCTTGTAACTTTCATGTAAAAGCTTAGGTTTAAAGTTTTATTTGGGTTTGGGACAATTCTTTTTATTCTTCATTCTTCTTCATTCTTCTGCACTAAATGAAACTTTAATAATTATAGAGTAAATATGCACTGGCTAACTATGTTAGAATATGGGCATTACTTTAATATACTAAGTGCTTGAAGCAATACAGCTTTGGGGACAATGAACTGCTTGGTAGGAATCGACTGCTGGCTCGTATATATATCAGGTATTACCAGCTCCAGCATAGTTGTATAGCTTCTCTTTGTCATGAGCCCAGAACCCAGGGCCAGTACACAAGAAAATGAGATCTTGTTTGCTGTTTCTTCCTAGCAGTTGACTGAAACTAATTAAAAATGTGTTGATTGTTTAGTGCTGACAAGCACATTTATGAATCCTATGACACACAATTGTGTGTGTGTGTGTAAAATCTTACCTCAAGGCGCCTGGCTTTGCCAGGATTGTATACTTCGGTCTTTTTGTAGCCATAAGCCTTCAGATTTCTGTACTGGAGTGTAGGTAACTGTGAACAGTCGCTTGGTTGATACACATTATTCTGGTTATGAAGTTTCCTCTGCCTGTCTTGATCTAAGGATGATTTTCCTGAAGGAAATTTCCTTGGGTCCCTGCAGAATGGCATGTGTATGAACTGCTCTTTTTGTTGAACATACGTTTCTGTGTTAGGAGAGGAACCTGTTTGCACCTCCTTGTCTTCAACATACAGAATAAGAAAATAATTATTCTCATTATAATATATGGTTTTCTCATTTGATGTGCTGATTTAATGTCACTGGAGAGCTAGAAAGCACAGATGCTAAATGCCAGGATTCATACGTTTTGTTCTTTTTCTAGCTGCACATGTCAGATCCTGTGCAAAACCTACTTTCATAACCTGACTCCTTGTTTTAATATTTTAAGAGCATACTTTATGGCAATGTTTTTTGTGGAAACTATTAGGGTATGTATGTATATGTGTGTGGGTGCCCATGTATGTATTTTTAAGTTGGTTATTTAACAACGCTGTGAGTATCAAGATTGTATAACATTGATGATCAGATAATTAATGAATGTTGAGCTGCTGGTGGAATGAGAATTGCTAGGCAAAAGCCGAACCACAAATCCCATGTGACCTGACCTGGAATCAAAAGCAGGCCACCATGGTAGGATCTATATATACTATACATGGTCACATGTATGAGTAACTTTAAATGGGGTTTAGATTATGACTTGATTTATTGACCACTTCTAAGCTTACATGACTTGTGACTACACTTTACAACTCACTCACACACAGAGTAATTTCCTCTGGATTACAGCCTCCACTAGTGTTTACTGGCAACAGATTTGAACACAGTGACTATAACAATCTCACTGAATTACACATTCCAAATATCACCTAAAGTTCACTTCACAGCCGGACTTTCAACTGAGCACTCTTGCAACTAACTAGTTGCCCCAAACCTTTCCAGTTATACTATCTCAGCATGGACAACATAAAAACAGCTCTTCTCTTGTAATAGAGGTGTGTTTACTGCACCATTGTGCAGCTATGGACATGGTGCAGACCATATATATATCATGTGAGTCATAGTCTCATGTCATGTCATGTGACAATGTGACTCACAGTTCAACAGGCCTGGAGATCAAGAAAATTTCTCGTCTTGTTAAACAAAGCTTTTGATTTTGATTTTTTCCATGATCAGGTTTAAAGTCAGTATTTACTACTTACATGTGATTTATTTATTGATGCTTCATCATTTTTAGTGGTTATGTGCCATAAGGTTGCATTAGATAATGATTATGTGTAGTAAAGTATAAACAATCTGAAGAAATCAGTTGTGGTCAGTTTGAAGGTTCATTCTGACACTATCATAAAGGGAATGAGATAAGTAATGAGAAACCTCAGTGCTCAGGTTGAAGTTCAAATGGCAGATCTCCCTAATTCAGTTCTCATGGCTTACTGCTGGGATAGAATATTTGTTGCTGTTTAAGCTGCTGTCGTTAATAGAGGAAAACTAGAAGCTAAATATGCTGTGTATCTTACGAAACTTAACGTCCATTGTTTATCGTCCATCAAAATTGCAACACTGGAAGAGTGTTGCAATATTGAGTTGAACAATTGCAACGGGATGCTGAAATACAGAATCTTATGAAAGTTTGCTTTTGAATGACACTATGTATACATATATGTAAACATAAATTTACCTTTCATGGAGCATTTTCCTGTTTTTTGCAGAAAAAAATTCCCTTTTTGAAATGGTTTATCCCATGCATCTTCAGTGTCTTCATTAGATTCTGAAGGCCCTGACCTGTGATATGGAATCATGATGTATAATCAGAATTTAGTATCAAATGCATGAAAAGGACTTTGATATAGCTACAGTAGAACAGAACATCGGACTGCAAAGCTAGAATCATGGATAACAGAACTCTGGTCAGAGATTAAGTGCAGTGGCTGTGTACAGAGAATACTGTGTCATTCATACACAGTCATAGTTCTGCTGTATGCATTTTTGTCTGTCTCATGTAATTAATCTCATGTACATTCTGTAGCTGAAGCACCTGCTCTGAACATAGGTTACCTTACGTGGTAATCCTTTATTTAAGATTAATGTCTCCTGGAATGTGAAAGCATATAGTTTGTTAGATAGGACCAGTGTTTCAGAGGAACTTGTGGCCTCCATCTTCAGGGTAGAGCATGGAGGCAGAAGTAAGAAATAAATTTGTGACAGTGGTATAGTAATACAGTTACTGTGTTTTTGGACATTAGCCATCATCCAGTTTTTTTTATTTAAAACAACATTTCAGAGGCTGGATTCTGTCTCTGTCCTAAGGTAAAAGCTGGAGATAGGGACTAGCTCTATTGATTGGGCCCAACAGAGTAGGATGGAAACAGACTCTAGTCTCCAAAACATTGTTTTAAATAAAAAGCAGGACAGTGGATAATGTCCAAAAATACAAGGTGGTTCAAATATTACCAGGACTGATTTGTGCATAAACAAGCCACACTGCGCAGCAGCTGTGCGACCTTGAGAGAGTGAAGCCACAACCTCCACCCTCCCTCCTGTTAGGATTTGAACCTGTTCAGTCTTGTCTGGGAGTTGCTAGAGCGATGAGCGAACAGAAGGTACCGCAGAGCGTGGAACAACGCATTGTGATCAAATTCCTCAGAGAAAACGTCCCGTCTGCTGAAATTCACCACAGACTCCAACAACAGTATGGGGAAGAATGTCTCTCATGGACCCATGTGTTTGAGTGGTGTAAGTGCTTCAGAGAGGGCAGAGAGCGCATGGAGAATGAACCGCATGATTGTCGGCTGCGAACATCCGTCACCGAGCCAAACATTGATCATGCAGACACGCTTATTCGTGAGAATAGGTGCATCACTATCAAGGAACTTGGAGCAATGCTGTCCATCAGTGTTGGTAGTGTAGAAGACATCGTGAAATACCACCTGCACTATCGCAAGGTGAAAGCATGGTGGGTACCACGCACTTTGATGGACATGAACAAAATGGTGCGCATGCAAGCTGCCAGTCATCTCTTACACCAGTTTGAAGATGAAGGTGATGCATTTTTGAAGTCTATAGTGACCACTGATGAAATGTAGGTGCATTACTTCATTCCCAAGTCCCAGCAGTCATCACGCGAGTGGTGGCATACCAGTTCTCCCAAACCCAAGAAAGCACGGATGAGCTGTTCGGCAGGAAAAGTGACGGCAACGTTCTTCTGGGACTGGCAGGGGGTTATCCATGTAGACTTTCTGACAGATGCCAGAACAGTCAATACAGCTTATTACTCAGAGCTCCTGGCAGCAGACGCCCTCATATGGCCAAAACAACACTGGAAACCCTCTGGAAACTGAAATGGAACCTTTTGACATATCTGCCATACAGTACCGATTTGGCCCCAGGTGATTCCTACCTGTTCGGTAGGCTCAAATCAGACTTGCAAGGCATGCGGTTTGTGGACAATGATGCCGTCATCCAGACTGTTCAGGAGCGGATATGCCTCCAACCACAAGCCTTTTTTGAAAATGGCATCAGGATGCTTCCAGAACGTTGGAAAAAATGTGTTGACTCCGGAGGCGAGTACGTTGAAGACTGACATGTGCAAGTAAGTGTTTGGCAATTTTGTTTTTCTAAAAAAAATCAGTCCTGGTCATATTTGAACCACCTTGTACAATAATTGTTTGGAGACAGAAGGCTCGTTTGAAACTTGTTTTCGACACTTTCCACTATGAGGACATCACATCTCACTTCTTAAATGTTTGTTCTTTCCGTTTGCTTCAAGCTCATACTTTTTCAAATTTCTGTGTATTCCTTTTTTTATTAGTGAAAGTCCAACTAACTACACATCTTGGTTCAATTTATCTCCACTCATTTAGCTCAGATTCTGTGACAGCTGTAATTTAGTATGCTTCTATTGAACTATTAATTTAGAGCACTTACTTACTTACTTGCTTACTCATGGAGCTGAGCCCTTCTTGAGGAGAAGCCAAATCTGCAGCTACTCAAGAATTTCCCAGCATTTTATGGAACCTGAAGGTTCATTACCGTGTTCACAAGAGCCTTAAAATGGTCCCTTTCCTGAGCCAGATCTATCCAATCCATACCATCCCATCCTATCTCTTTAAGATCCATTCTAATATTGTCCACCCACCTACGCCTTGGTCTTCCCTGTGGTCTCTTTCCTTCTGGCTTTCCCACCAGTATTCTATACGCATTCCTAGTCTTCTCCATTCGTGTTACATGACCTGCCCACCTCATCCTCCTTGACTTTATCATTCTAATTATACTTGGGGAAGAATACAAATTATGAAGCTCCCCATTATGCAGTTTTCTCCAACCTCCTGTCACTTCATCCCTCTTCGGTCCAAATATTCTTCTCAACACCCTGTTCTCAAACACCCTCAGTCTTTGTTCCTCCCTTAATGTCAGAGACCAAGTTTCACACCCATACAGAACCACAGGCAAAATGATAGTTTTGTATATTCTAATTTTTATGTTTTTGGACAGCAGACGAGAAGACAAAA